TTGTCATCGACAAGATGCTTTAAAACAAAGACTCACACACACAGTGCTGTTTTACTTGGCTATGTCCATAACACATAGACAACAGGGTTGTTCTTGATACAGATTCTTTACACATCAGCGGATGCTGATTTTCTGTATTTAAAAGAAAACGCAAAAAGTACATCTTTATTGAATCAATCCACATGAAAAAGCTTTTTATTTTCTTTGGTGTTGTAGTACAATATTGTTTCAATGATTTTGTGACATTTATTAACAAAAGAATCAATCTGCATAAAAACAGTCACCCTCATACACATGCTGCCACGTGAATTTGAACGGCTGTGGACCTCTTAATTCAGAAGTACTCGTACTTACATTAGGCTACCGTTGTTCTTAAAAATTTATCGGAATTATTCAAACTGGTATTTCAATTTGAATAAATGAAGTCTATGAAATCTCTATTTCACAGATAAACGAATCACACTTGAAAATGTCACAATAACTAAACTCTACTACTCATTCGTAAGGCCGAGTCTCCTGAGAAGGATACACATTTTTCATTTACAATATTCATTTCAAATATTAATATAGATCGAGACAACCTGAAGGAAGTAAACGGCTTCAATGCTACTATTTACTTCTTTTTTACTAATGTAAAAAGTAGTAATATAGTAGTAGTACAGTAAATAGTAGCATAGACGTGTTCATTCATGAGAAGTGTGGGTGTAAATTCATACTAAGTGCATACCCTTACTGCTCTAACCTAGGCATGTAGTACATCAAAATATTCAAGGCTTTTCTGGCAAAACATTAGAAATAAGTCTTTTTTTGCACGATATTTCCGTTGACGTGTTTGTGTTACAGAACACTGGCTGAAAGACTACGAAGCAATTAACAACACAGAAAATTATGTAATAGTCAGTTCGTTCATAAGAAAGAGCTTAAGTAGAGGCGAATCCATGATTATTATTAAACGTAACTTAAAATTTAAAGAGCGCAAGGATATCACAGATCTTTCTACTGAACGAACTATTGAGATTTCATGTGTGGAATTGGATCAGTTTGTCGTCTTATGTGTATACAGGCCCCCCTCTGCTAATTTTAACGAGTTTGAATTAATTATAGAACACAGTTTAAAGCGGATTTTTCCAACCAAAAAAACGTAGTAATATGTGGAGATTTCAATGTAAGCCTGTTGGAAAACTGTTCGACTTCTGTAAGACTCATTAATTTATTTAAAAGTTTTAACTTGATTAATCTTTTCTTAGAGCCAACTCGCATCACTGCCTCCTCTTCTACTAGTATTGATAACATCTTTTGTAACACAGACGCAGTATCTAAATCAATAATAAATTACTTAAGATCAGACCATAGTGGCCAATTGGCTTCTTTTAATTGTAAAATGAGCAAGAAGGTAGACCGATTTCTCTGCAGACCGATTACCACAGAACGAATCATTAGATTTCAAAATAATATCGGCAATAGTTTTAATTCCCTACCCCATATACCGGAGGTTCCAAATACTTTATATAGCACGATATTTGGTTTAATTAAAAATGAATTTGATAATATATTTAAATCGAAAACATTAACTTTCCATAGAGAGACTAAATTCAACGACTGGTCAACAGTCCGTATTCATAAGAGTAGGTCTCGTATTTAAGAGCTATATGCTATGAAAACTTATAATACTAATTCCAATTTCATAGAATATGTTACAATTTATTCAAAAATATTTAAAAAAGTATGTGTAGCTGCTAAGGTTAAGTTCACAACGACAAAATTAGACAATCGATAAATAAATTTAAAACTACTTGAAGCATAATAAATAAAGAGTCAGGCAGGGTTAAACAACACGATAGAGATATAGTTTTAGAATTAGACAGTAAACTTATAAAATCTAAAGATAAAGTAGTCCAAACTTTTGAATCGTTCTTTTCGGAAATTGCTGTGAACAGTACAGAATCATTAAATTCCTCCCCTTCACTTGCTATTGATCTCCTTTAGGAAAATGTTAACGTTTGTGGCAGTTTATTTAATTTCCGTCATGTTAATAAACAAGACATCATAAAAGCTTTTAAATCAAAACATGTTAAGAAAACTGAAGACCTCTGGGGCATATCAACTAAAGTTATAGACTCAGTTATTCAAATTTCCCCACATTTAGCTGTAGCTTTCAATAGGTGCGTTGACGAAGGTGTTTTTCCCGATTTAATAAAATACAGCAAGGTTATTTTCCCTTATTCAAAAGCAGTAGGACAGTTGATCCTAGCAACTATAGGCCCATTTCAATTTTACCAGCTTTAGTAAAATATTCGAAAAGGTTATGCTGACTCAATTACTGTCCTATTTCGGTAGGAATCATATTTTTTTTAGTGAACAATACGGGTTTACTAGTGGTAGATCGACTAGCGATGCGGGGGTAGCGTTACTAAAACACATATTTGATGCTTGAGAAAGGTCCCAGAACGCTATTCGTGTTTTCTGTGACCTCTCAAAGGCATTTGATTGCGTTGATCATATTACTCTTATTAGGAAGCTGTAACATTACGGTGTAAATGGCAAGGCGCCGAAACTTGTCTCGTCATATCTCAACGGTAGAATTCAGAAAGTAGACATAAATGGTGTGACTTCTTTGGGTTCTCCGGTAAAAATGGGTGTTCCGCAGGGCTCAATACTTGGGCCTTTCTTATTTTTGATTTATATTAATGATCTGCCATTCTTTGTTAAGGACCATTGCGAAATAGTGTTGTTTGATGATGACACATCCTTGATTTTTAAAACAGACAGACATGACATTAACTATGACTATATTAACGATACCCTTTCTACGGTAGTTTATTGGTTTAATGCTAACAATTTATTACTTAATGCCAAGAAGACAAAATGTGTTAAATTTGAATTACCTAACGTAAAATCGACTAGTCCAAGCATAGAAATAAACGGAGAAAAGTTAGACCTTGTTAATAAAGCAGTCTTCTTGGGTGTGACCTTAGATAGTAAACTTCAATGGTTTCCACATATATCTTCCGTGGCCAGCAGATTAAGCTCCGCTGCATACGCAGTGTGCAGAATACGTGAGCTTACCGATGTCAGTACTGCTAGACTAGTTTACTTTAGTTACTTCCATAGTATAATGTCCTACGGGATTCTCATGTGGGGTAAAGCGGCAGATATTCAAACCATATTTGTATTGCAAAAACGAGCGATTCGTTCTGTGTACCGTCTAGGCTCTCGGGTTTCTCTCAGAGAAAAGTTTAAGGAGACTGGTATCATGACTGTGGCATCACAGTACATTTACTTAAAATATTTTATATGCCCGTAAAAATATACATAATTTCAATAAGAAAGAAGACATCCATAATATTAACCTTAGAGCTAAATCCAAACTCATGGTACCACGATTTCGTTTAACCAAGGTAAACAACTCTTTTATGGGGAACTGTGTACGTTTTTACAATAAGATTCCGGAGCATATATTAAATTTATCATTTCCTAAGTTTAAAAACTACATTAAAAATATTTTGATCGAAAAATCATATTACAAAATTGAAGACTACGTGTTAGATAAAGATGTATGGTAAGACGACATGGCTCCAGAATCCACACAAATTTGATTCAAAGTGTATTCCATAGCATTTAAGTTTATGTTAATGGAGCAATCCCTAGAGTTTCTTGCTCGTTCTTCTCAGGGAGGTGAGCGCAGTGAACGAGCAGTAGCTTAAATGTGACGTTTTCAAGTGTAAATTTATTTTACCTATGGAATAAATAATCTTTGACTTTGACTTTGGCTCAGTATCAAAGATTTTTAGAGAGAAATAACTTTCTTTGCTTCATAAGGCGAGGAAAACACTATCAACGATACATTTTTTTTAAAGAAAACACGTGCTCTGAAAGGTGTAATACAATCAACTATAGAATGAATTACTTGACTGAAAGACCATAACAAAAACAGTATGTATTTTTTTAATGTTTATTGAAGTGCGTGATGAAACTTTAAGTTTGTAAACTAACTCCAATATTGTGTCGGGGAGAATTTATATTTTTTCGAGAGATTTTATCACAGGTTATTTATGAAAAAAGTACAAATTACCATTCTCGATAAATAATTTTATACGTCCAGGTTTACCTAATTAAATCGCGTGTGTGTAATTTAAACAATTTTCACAACTAGTAATTATGAACAATCGCGCCCTATACATAGTTCGGTTGATTAATTGGCGTAGCTCGTATAGGCTGATACAAAAATTAAAATATTCGATTTCTTAAATAAGTGCTCTGGATCGGCCTTCTGTATATTGAATAAGTGCCATTTTCCATTAAATTTTATTTCACACGCATTTTCCACTAAGCGACTATTCGCTGATGGTAGGCCGCGCGCGACTAATTATTTATTCGAGTAAGTCATTATATCATACCCATTGAAGCGGCCGCGACTCTGAAGTAAAACAGAGTCGCGAGTGGCCAGCCGCCCGCAGCTAGTCGCTTAGTGGAAAACGCGTTCGCGCGTATAACTTATTTGATTAAATAAGAGTACAACTTTTGTTAATAACTTTTATTAATTTACGCTAACCGATTAACTTTTGTTAACTTGAAAAATTGTTTCACAATTCAACTGCAGTTTAATGCTCTCTTCACGTACGAAGAATCTATGGATACACACATACAAACAATCATGCTTGAATGTTAATTTTAAGAAGGTAAATCACAAATTCCGCACCCGAACTTGCCTGGGAAGCAAGCGTTATAAGGACAAGGTGATTACTGCTCATTATCGATTCACAGAAAAGTTAAAAACTATACACCCTGAGTATAGTTAATTATAATCTAGCTTTAATTAAATAATAAACCGTGACAAGTATAAAGCCTAAACCCCAAGTCGAAAGATATTTTTATTAGACTTGTAGTCGTTGTGAAATTAAGACTAAGATTCAATTATTATCAGAAATTAGAAAGAGACTAGAAAACTTTTTATGGCTTATAAAGCAAAAACCATGTATAACCAAATAGAAATTAAAACAATGGCAGCAGCATCTTTCACTCATGTTTATAATTTTTTAGATAAAACTGGACAAAGCGGGTTCCTTATACAACCTAAAACAAAATTCTTGAATTTTTGCTACAAGTTGTATAGACTTTTGATGTTCGTGTGGCTTTTCATCTACATGGCACAGCATGTCATCTTTGTAGCGCTAGTAATGTAAAATTCAGTAGTTTCTATGTTTTTATGTTTCTATGTTGAGTCGGTGTTACAGCTATTGAGACTGTTAATCAACAGGCCTTGTGCTTCTCAGGTCCAAAGGCATTAAGAGTATACCTACATAGGCATCAATTATTACGCGTTAGTTTCTTAATGTTGCAAATGTTTATAGATGACAAGCAATAGCCAATTAATAACTAAATCGTTGGTTCCGTGGGTATGATGAATAATTATTAAAATACCTTATTTCATCACAGAGGATGAGCATGTAGTAAATGCACTATTTGATATTGTAAAGTTTATTTTCGAATTCTACTTAGCTTTTGACATACGGGATATAATTAATATTTTCTTTGTTTAAGAATTGGGGCGACATGGATAAGGTAATAGAAGGAGCCAGTTTTACCGTTCCTCATATGAACTGCTGCGTTAAATGGATTACTCTCATTTTGGGAACATCAAGGCTACGTAAAATCTTTACTTTGTTAAACGGTAACGTCTTTCGTTATAGTAACCTATCGGTCCTACAAGGCGTGCTCCTGAGCCCTACCTTAGCTACTTACATATCCCATTCAAAATAAACAGATGACAGCGTTACGTTTCGATACCTATTTGCTATATTTCATACGGTGTTAACTGGTGTTAACCTACGACTTCCATCACTAACGCTAAATTGATTTTTCCACATCATCATGAACTTATAGTAGATATTATTATTATTAGGAGTATATCATTTATTATATTTGAATTTATACTTTTGTTACACTTTTCTTTCTTACAGATCCAATATTTGACGCCGACAGCGAAAAAGACGCTAAAACGTTGGAAGAAAATAAAAAATTTGCTCACAACTTGCATAAGAAATTTATGAACATAATCACGGTCACCGTTATAGTTTGGCTTCTTTTATTTATCTTGAAAAAGTTGCAAAATGATAACACATTCATAGCTTCGTATTTTCCTTTTGAAACGAAGTCTTGGAAAGGGTATGTATTTGAACGCAATGTAGTATAAGCTTCAAACTAAGGACAGAGAACTTACTTAACAACGAGTTTTTTCACAATCATTTTAACCATCGTAAAAAAAATGCACAAAATGTAGAATGTTCAATTATTAATGCAAAGATCGAGCACAGAGAAAAAATCCTTCGATCTGACAGGACAGTTGCCCTGGATTGCTAAACACACCTGATCGATTTCTCCAATGCCTTCAATGCTGTAGATCATAAACTTTTCCTTGCAACTGTCGACCACCTAAACATCTATGTAATTTTCAGTTCGCATCTTGTCACCGTAATCGCCAGGCCAAGCGAAACCGTTTGTGCAGATCGTTTTACTCACACTGGTGTTAACTCACATCAGGGGTACCTCAGGGCGGAACCCTCTCTCGTTTTCTGTTTTAATAAATCTGTTTTCATACAGCATCAATGTTCTTACCATTTGTATGCTAAGTTAATATCAGTGACATCGATGATGCAAATGCGTTGATTAATGAGGACCTTTGGCATCAATGTTAACCATTCCAAATGTCAACAATCATCCTCGGAAACTTAGGCTTAAAATCGTCTTGTGACAATGTGCATGCTTGCAAAAGATGTTTAAGGACGTCGTAATCCCACAGTCTAATTATGTAAAGAATCTGGAACTGATTATAGATACAGGCCTTACGTGGGAGGCTCACCCTCCCATGTTTAGGCTGTCAAGGGTGTTAAGAAGACGATCACGATTGAACCACGGCATTAGATAATTTAATCAGGATCAGCATAATGGGTGTCCTTTCTTATATCTTCAAAAAAACCGTATTCCGTTTCTTTAGTGATCATTCAACGCTAAATTCCTTAGCTATAAATCATGTAATTAATGTAATTATTTTGCCATAATTATTCCTTGTTTCAGCTACATGTTAGGCGTTTTCATAGAAACTGCACCATTTTTATTGACTGGTCATGGTCATTTATCCTATGATATCCTCATCGTAACATACTATATTCAAGCTAGGACACAACTAAAAATTATCAGGAATAATTTAGAAAACCTTTGTGAAGGTCTAAATCACATTTCTAAACACGATCAAAGTTCAAAACAAGCTGATGTTAGAATTGGAGTAAACGAGCATTATGTAGACGACTTGGATGAAAATGTCCATAAACGTTTTGTGAGATGTGTTAAACGATACAAGAAAGTTGTTTGGTTTGTATCCTTTTGACCGGCACTTTATACATGTTTACTAGCTGTAAGATAATGCACACATACTGGAGTGATTATAATAAACTAGAGTTCTGATCTTGCTTTGCATTGACGTCTTACATATACACATATGGTCATATACTGTCTCTCTTAATTACCAGGTACACGAACGAGGTGACAGAAATATTCAGCCCAGCAATTTTGTTCCAATTCTTCTCAATAGCGATACCAATTTGTTTCATGGTTATCAAATTAAGCTCTGTAAGTTGATTTTCTCATCGTATACTTATATCTTAAAAATGTGTTATAACTTTAACAAAAACGGCACATGATAATATTATTAGATGTTAGTTGTCAGCAAAACGTTTGTTCTTACCCCAATAAACTATTTCTTACCAGCTGCTTCTAAACGCCGTCTGTTTGATATACGATAATGAATCTCACCGCCTTGTTTATTTTTCTTTCAGATTTCTATTGGTAGTATGGAATTCTTGTTTTATATTATGTTATGTTTAATTGAAATGACGCAAGTATTTCTGTATTGCTTCATTGGCGGATTGGTGATATATGAGGTAATATCTCCATTAATGGAATGATTATGTGCCTCTTGTCTTCTGACGTAGATAACCCTCAACTCTTGAGTCATAAGACCAAAACTGAAGACTAATTCGAGTCGAAGTCTTTTAACCCTAGGAAGCTTAAAAGACTTGTAGGACTAAAACGACTAAAACGACTGGCGCCTTATAGCCTCGGGAGTCGCGAGTTATGAACCGTATGGCGTAATTTTATTTCTATCCACAAGATATGTATTTTACGATTGATGGATAACGTTAACGTAGCTTTGGTCACAGAAGTCACTTAATTATAACCAATTCAAGAATTTGTTTTTAGGGAATTATTTGTTTCTTTCATATAAAAATAAATGGATACAGAACCCAACAGTCAAAGTATTTTATCAAATTTTAGTGTCTGATACGGTCGTTTGATCGTAATGATGAATGAAACATAGTATTTATGAACGTATTAAGTGGAGGTCCACAGTCTCTGCTGGTGACAGGCGAGATTTTTATGTATATATTTGTTCTATATATTACAGATAAATTGTATCTGTGCATGGCTTTCTAAAAAAGTTTAAATAAAAGTACTAGGACTTCATAATAAGAAAAGTGGTTACAGACCAATAATCGATAGACTTTTAAATATTGGTTGTATTTCATTATTTCAATTTACTCGCAGAAAAAGTATTGTATGCAATCATTACACGATTAGGTCTTAAAATCTCGTACCTATTACTGAAATCACTATTTGAATCCTAAGTTTTATTATAAGTAAATAAACGTGATTATTTACTACATACTACTACGTCATTTTTATTTTTTAAACTTCGGGTTTAATAAGACTAAAATAGGTATAAATCCATTGCAAACAACTCGAGTCGTTCAAGTCGTATAAGTCGTTTAAGTCTTTTAGTATAACGACCGAGTTATTAATAAAAACTCGAACCTCCAGTCTTAATATTACAGTCGAGTCCTGTAAAATGGAGTAGAGTCAATATAAAACGCCTTAAAAGGCCGAGTCTCTTTCATCGCTACCACACATTGACTTACAAATAAATGGACGACGGGTCTAATACAAAAACCACGAAAAAAATGTCCCAAGTCAACCTATTTAAACGTAGTGACATGTAAAGGAATATGAAAAAGCTAAAACGTTGAATTTAAATTGTAATGTCATCACAGTACTGTCTAATTTTGCTTGCTTCGCTGTCAGTCGAACAAACGAAGACTAAAGCGTGAATGACGCTCTGTATACGATTGTAACGCCCTATAAGTTCGGACACTTCTTAACGCGAACCCGACGTCCATATAATTGTAAGTCAATGCTACTACTAATCAGTTTTACATGACTTACAGAGTAATCTTATAACGAGTTCACTGTACCTAAGCCAATGGGAATCGTTAACACCAAAGTTCCGCCGACTAATTCTGATCGCTGCAGAGCGTTGGAGATGTCCCATCAAACCTCGAGTTGCTTATGTTATACCGTTGTCTATGAATACCTTTATTTCGGTAGGTACCAATACATTTGGAAATATACTCTAGTATAGCCCTTACTTTAATTTTTCTTTGTTTTCGTCTTTTAAATTTACAATTCATGAGTCTTGGAATCCGTGCGTAATAAGTTTTATAATTACAGATAGTCAAATCGGTATACACCCTTTTCACCGTATTGAAGACTACAAACCTTAATATTATATAACGTGGAATAACAGCAGCAATCAGAACACCGTAGATGATGGACAATGTAGAGCAAATTATTGTGCTGTGTTAGCTTATTCTTATTTTTTGTTCAGTTTCCACAAAATAACACTTTATTGTAGAAAGTTAAAATATACGTAAATAATATACAACTTCAAAATTATGTTTGATAATATCAAGACATTTTCCAACTTGGTCCTTTTGTAGATCAAGTCAGAGTGTGGAAGCCGGAATACTGTAACACAGGGTACATATTCCGCTCTCTTACAATGGCCCGACACATCTGAAGTTAAGTAAGTTAAGTAATTAAAATGATGACATGACAATTTTAGTTAAAAATGATATAATGTTAAAGTGCCGATTATCAAGCATTGAAAATAGTCCATACTTTACTTACTTTACCTAGTGACCTAAGAGAATTGCCTCTAAATGAATTTACACGTGAAATAAATATAATGCAACTACTCCATAAATGAATTTCTGGAATGACGTAAGCTACGGAACGAACAAGTCATCAAGTCAATTAAATTGCAGTTATATGCTTCTCTTTGGAAGAGATTAACTCACCTAAACATAGCAGTAGAGGTTCTTGTGAAAGAGTTTGTCCAGTGAAGTACTGCCCACTTACCTATTCGTGCCGCCAAGCAGAAATGCGAGCATTACTGCGTTCCGGTTTTGAAGGGACTTGTCAAGATATGTCACAGAGTGATGGGTGCAGTGGCAGTGCCCTTCCAGTCTTTGCGGTTTGAAGCTCTAAGTGGCGTTGCAACTATTATGAACAGGCGTGTCGCTTACTACCCGGCCCATGTCTTATTCGTCCCGTCAGAGTGTTATATAAAAAAAACATATATTTCTTTAATGTCATTTATTTCTACAATACTGAATTATTATATTATACCTACATAGGCACCTACAAATTTAGTATAGGTAATATTGGTGGATCTTTTCTCATATATATAACTGCGTAACAAGTACTACGTTGTGGGGATTTGTGGAACAAACCTAAAATGTGCGCTACGTCGATTATTTGTAAAAATGTTTTTTTCAAATATTTTACTGAAAGTCGGAAATATGTTATTTGATGCTGTCTGAATAACCATAGGATTTTAAAAGAGGAATAACTTTGCTTGACGAGGTCAGGAAAATACTATCATCAATACATTTATTCAAAACACGTGATATGAAAGGTGTAATACAATCAACCATAGAATTAATTACATTGATAGAAAGACCATAAGACGAGCAGTATTTTTTTATTTATATCGATTTAAATACTTTAGCAATGTCTATTGGAAGTACCGATAAAGAAGTACTTTTTCAAGTAATTTTATCACAGGTTATATAAGAAAAAAAAATTAACATTCTTGATAAATAATTATACGTCCAGGGGAACTATATTATTATATTGCGTTTTGTCGTGAAGGTAATTTAAACAATTTTCACAACTAGTAGGTAATTACGACCAATCACACCCTATGCTTAATTCGTTTAATTAGTTGGCTCATCACGTATAGGCTGATACCAAAATGACCTATTAAATTTCTTAAATAACCACTCTCGGTCGGTCTTCTGTACTTATTCTATAGAATAAGTGCCATTTTCGACTAAGAGGCTAGTCGCAGGCGGCTGGCCACGCACGACTCTTATTTATTCAAATAAGTTATCATTATACGAAATCCATTGACGCGGTCGCGATTCTGAAAATGGCACTTAGGTACACGCATTTTTCACTAAGCGGCTCGCGTGTTTGTGCGGTTTATGTGGAAAGTTTAATTTCGAATAGAATAAACATTTATTGCAACGCCACAACACATAGATACAAAAAAAAATGATAGCACAAACAAGAAAAACACAATGAAAAAAAACAACATTCTGACGAAAAGCAAAAAACAAATTATAACGACTACAAATTTTGTACTGTCATTTGTGCTGTTGTGACGTACTCAAAAGGACTTCATTAGCTTTTCGTTGATGGAAATCATCGTCAGTCGAAGGAGATCCACCACCCTCTGAAAACGTGAATTCCTCGATTGGGCCAGCGTGGAGGACAACGGCCTAAACCTTCGCATAACCTGATTTTACTATAGTACTTAAATCAAATTTGTGACAAAGCGAAACTAGTAGTTTCGATCCCAAGCTCGTGCACGCTTGATGAGTGCAGAAGGGCTTATTAGCGTTGCCCGACACGATCACCACACGGGTGCAGGCGCATGGCGCCGACGACGCGCGTCGCACGCGCTCGCCGGAACGACCATCTTGATCCCCCTTTAGAACACTCACTATTCAACATAAGATATAGACCTTAATAGTTCAGATTAGCCACTTTCAAGCGGAACCTCGGCGACAAAATTGTCTACGGACATGTGTAGATTTGTACAAAAAACGTGTAATTCCATTCACACTTAACATAGTTTGAGGTCATTGCAAAGGCTACGATTATCAAATCATCAGATAGCTGCGACTGTTCACACATAAGTTGAACATATTACTTTTACCACGTAATACATTAGGGATCTCATTCTCAATATTTTAAAACACATGGTAAAGTCGTTTAAAGACAAACTAGAAATAAAATAATTCCTTCGATCGGGCTGGATTAGCGCCTTCAACATAGCGGCATGAATCCAGCATGGCAAAGTAAAAAACATCGTGATATTCCATAAACTTAAAAATTTTACATTTTGAATTGAGTCACTTTCAGAATACAGAATTTTGTGTGGTGAGAGGTTAGGGAAGCTCATCTAGCCCCGTCACTTTTTTGTATTCGAATCAACACATATATAATTTTACCCTACTAGTAAAAAACTTATATAAGTCTACGTCAAATTAAGAAGTGTCTACTAAACCTACTTAGACGTAGTTAAGGCGTAGAGCAACCGAACTGACTTACTTTTAGTAAGTCACCTCAACCACACTCGAGACGGCGTGACAGCCTTTGCGGCGCCGGCTTTGGTTGCTAGGCAACGCGGCGCCACCCCGCCTCTACCGATACATTGATGTAAAGATGCCCGGATAACACGATCAACTACGCTCGTAGCGTGACGGCCGGCTTGCATACAGTCTCATTATCTTATATCACAATCGCTCTGGAATACATATCTCTTTTATATAGTAGAGTTTAAGGGAGTCAATCAATTCCATTAGTGTTAAATTCATTTCTCAAAATGGTTGCTTTATGAATAAATGATGAATGGCATTTATTATACAATAGGTGGTACAAATATCTTAGAGGATGGAAATAAAATACAAGTATAGATAATTATGTACTCATATTTTACCGATATCGGCGTGGAAGTCTGTGAATGTCAACATTTTGGCAACTGAACAATTCTACAGCAAGTCCTATTAAGTGTAAAGATAACATAATTTAATAGTAAGTTATTGCCATGTCATGAAGATGTCCTTGGCAAGTAAGTTAAGTGGTCAAATTTATTGAGAATTAGATGTAATGAAGTCATTAATTGAATAGAAATTTTTATCTCTTAGCCATAACATCAGCTGACGTTTAAATAGAAGATTATTATTTACCGTTTTTGTATCAGAGGGGTTTTTTTTTAAATAAGTGCGCATTTGACCTCCATCTCATCTGATGGAAAGTGATGATGAGGTCGATGATGTAGCATGCACATGTAAATCATGCCTATTCACTCTCGCCTTGAAAATGTCCAAGTAATAGCGTTTGGGGAACAAGCTCGCAGATAGAGAATTCCACTCTCTAGCCGCTCGCCATACAAATGTGGAAGCGAAACGCTTCCTGGGAATATCCACAACATAGGGATGGAATCCCAGCCTACGTCCAGTCCCCCGATGATGGAAGGAGAAGGCGGAATGAAATTATGCAATTCCATCGCACACTTTTCGTGATATATCCTGTAGAATACCGATAAGCAGGCAACTTTACGGCGGTGTTGAAGGTTCTACCACTTCGCCTCTACTAATTTTGAGTTAAGCCTCTTGGCACGCTTGTTGATTGAATCCAAGGTAGCCAGTTGGTATTTAGCAGAGCCATCCCATAAGTGGCAGCAGTACTCCATACACTTGTGCTTGATACAGCTGAAGTAACTATCCCGGTGTGAAGTAACGCCTCACCTAGGAAAGGATGCTAAGCTTCCTGGTTGCATTTTTGACCATGGATTCAATGTATCTGCTTCTCTGAAGTTGAGATTCCAAATAGCTGGAGACGGTTGGCTATAGGTATGGATACATCACGAAAAGTCGGAGTGAGGTAAAAGGGAATCCGTTTTGTGGAGAATAGACACGCCTGCGTTTTGGTGGCATTAAATTTGACAAGATTGGCATTGCCCCAATCTGAGACTGCCTTAAGTGTCAAATTCAAACGACTAACCATAGACTCTCGACAGGACTGGATTGGTCAAGTACCTATCCACAACTGTGCTGTTATAAGCATACCCAAGCGCTCCTGGAATTAACTTATCATTGATATGCAGCAAAAAGCGAGTTGCGAACAGTACGGAACCCTAAGGTATCTATCGCCCGATGTTCGGAAGAGTAGCCTTCTAAGGCCACTCGAATCGAACGTTTAATCAAGAAATACGAAATCCAGTTGCAAAGGTCCGTGGGAAGCCCAAAAGAAGGAAGCTTGCTTAAAAGGTTTGCGTGCCAGACCCTGTCAAAGGCTTTAGAAATGTCAAAAGACACTGCAAGTGCTTTGCGATGTCTGTCCGCCCTCGTCGGAATCCGTACTGGCGATCACTGCTGAGGTCGTTGTCTTCAAGGTACGACAGGAGACGGTTATTAAGTACACGCACCACAATCTTGTAGAGTATGGAAATGACTGAGATAGGTTGATAGTTGACAGGGTCAGCTCTGCTTCCTTTTTTGGGCACAGGTTGCACGTTTGCAAGCTTCCACGGCCTGGGATCTGCACCAGTCTCAAGTGAGAGGTGATACAAGCGTGTGAGAACAGGAGACAACTCTGGCACACAGTTACGCAGGACTATTGCTAGAATCCCATCTGGCCCGCTAACTATATTCACACCTAAACTTCGCAAAGTTCTGAGTACCAGT